AAGCAGTGACTCGTACTAAATTTTGTAAATAAAGAAAAAAAAATGGCAATGATTAAAGTACGTAAAGACTAAAGGTGCAGAAGAGATACATGACCATTGAAAGACATGTTTGCTCATTTTATTCGAAGCTTTTGATTTGTCAATCTCATCCGCTCATCATCGATTTATACTCATTCTATATTCTTTTCAGTATCAAATACACGATGAATCATTTGCATCTCGACATGTATTTCATATTTGAAAGAAGAACGTTTGCAAGTAGTATCGACTAAAGAATAAAACAAGAAAAACAGCAGTGTGTTATATTATTACATCATGAACGTGCAATAAGAAATCAGTTATCTCACATGATATTTTTGATTATTTTTGAGTACATGATGTCTACTATTCATTTTCTAGCCTAAGTGATTATCTGGATTCTATATTAGCTGGCTATTGTCACTATTTACTCAACTTTCGTTCTGTTCTTAACTCGAAATTTGATCTTCTTTGTCAACATATATGACCACATCAAGTCATTTCTATTGTATTATCCAATGACAATGATACATCAAATCAGTCAAATCTGTTCTTTTCTCATTTTAAACTGGAACAATTCATTTATCTTCAATCATTCGACATGACTACGATTAGTGATAATAAACACAGACATACACTGCTATATATAACTTAATTCCTTGACTGAATCGACTAGCACTACCCGATGCTTATAATCTCGTTTTGGCTTCATTGCCTCGTCTACGTCATTTAACTCTTCAAAGTTTCTTTTGCTGGGGCTTATCATTTATATTAAATCAAATTCCTAATCTTCATTCACTTGATGTCAAACTTTCATATGATAATTATTCAAAGTGGACGGATGGTATATCATTATTGCCCCATCTAGGATGGCTCATCCTAATCATTCATGGTGCATATAGTTATATGAAAATTGTATATATATATATATTCTTTGTTTTTTAAAATTAAGGTAAAAAAAAGACCATGATCCATGTAGAACAATTTTTATCTAAAATATCTAATCTATATTATTTCGAACTTATGGCCAAAAATGGGAATTACTTGTTTCACATTTGACTATATTCAATTTTCGACTGCATCTTCAATGTTCATTACCACATATTCCCGAAGAAAATATTCTTGATTCATTTTGTTCACTATTTTGACTTGAACAAAAACGCTGATTTGTTGCCAATGATGGTCCATATTCGCAAAATATCTTTACGATATCTCGTTTTACATCAAATGTTCTCGTATATCCGAATATTTATTGGCCACCAATATGCACATCATCCAGTTTCTGTTTTGATAAATATATCCATCAAATTGATTTGTCATTATTTAATTCAATTATTTAACGTTTTATCAAAGTCACGTCACTCGTATTCAATATAGAAGAAACCTACACCAATCTTATATCGACTTCATTTTTCGATCTCATTGAATATATGCCTCATTTACGTTCACTTTCGTGTCAAGATCTCTCTACATTAGCTGGCTTATCACATGATATCGCCTTCAAAGCGATACGAACTTCACACATACGAAACAATTTTGAAAAATCTGAAAGTGAAATCCACTATCGATTGGACCTAAATCGATTATGTAGTCCTATTAATTGATCAATTGAACTATCTATCAATTGCACAATTTCAATTCTATTATCGTTCATCGTCACTGACGCGTTTCTCATCTCAAAGTTTTGCTCTAAATATATTCCATCATACTGGAGGGTGAAATGAGATGGTTTCATATTTTATGCAACAGTTCAATGATATCTGTGAGAATAATAAGTTATAATTGAGTACGAAAAACTAATCGATCTTTATCGAGATGATAATTTTTAATTTCATTGAGCGAAAAATCGGCTCAGATCACTTGAGTTTCTGAATAGCGTTTTAAATTTTATAGTAATAATCTCCTTATCAATAAAAAGAAAAATACAAATACAATCATATAAAGATTGTCTTCGAAGAAGTTTTTGTATGTTGGAAATTTGCTTTTATCTTATATTTATTCTGCTTCAGTGGGACTCTAATTCGTTCTCAAATATATCATTAATATATATTTTCTCATTGTTTTTGCTTTTCTATTCTTTGCTTGTCATTGAATATTTTGATTTTAACTATCTGACAATCGAAATTCGTTCAAATGGTATTCGTCACTAACATATTGTTTGCAATAGATCATATTGATGAAATATTTTTGTTTATATGTGGAAATAGCCGCTACGTCAAAATGTTTTTAGTCTCGCACATTTTGCATATAAAAAATATACATCAGCTCCAATGCTTTGACGATCTGTAAATTTTATCATGTCAAATAAGTCTTGAAAAAAACTCAATCTTATATCAATATCTATACAAAAATCAAAATTTTTTCTACATAAGATGTATTGATTTCAATCATTCTTTCTCCAAAAAATTAGCTTTTGGAGAGCAAAATTATTTTTCGTTTCAACTTAGAAGAAGAATGAATATTTTTCGAATCAGTTTTGATAAAAAGTAGAGAGTTTCCCATTTGAGAACAGGAGATAAAAGTGTATTTAATCATATATTAGCACTATGTGAGAATCACATGAGCCATTTTCTAATACTCAATTATTGTAAAATTCTGCTGCATAACTAACCCTTTTCGGCAGAATAAGAGATAGAAATAAGTATTTTTGTAAACATTTTACTTTTACAACTAAAAAATGAAAAGATAAATAAAATTGAATTGTCGCTTTATGTGAAAATGGCACGAATCGGACAAAAAAAATCTTTGAGCGCAATTTGTGCGAGATTAAAATCTGAAATATGAGCGAATCATTTCAAATATCTAAAGGGAATACTTCTTATTTTTGTTACAGTCCATCACAAGATTTAAGCAAGAAATTTCGAAAGAAGTAGCTTATTTTCATTTCGCTTGATTGAAACATGTTTCAGGAAAAAGCACATCGTTTGTCAAAAAAAAAACAATCACTAACAAATTTTCGCTTTCATAATAAGTTTGTCTGAGTCAATAATGATTTTTTTGTTCGTTCAATATTTTACATTTTAAACAGAAAATAACATTTTCATTTTACTCGATAGCAAAAATCAATTTCCATCAGGAATTTGTCTTATTTTCTACCGTTGGACAGTTAGCTATCGTGGGAAAAATAACAGTAGAAAAGTTTGTACGCCATCATGCCGACTATTAAGAAAATGTATCTACAATGAACAACCTTGACAATGTAACACCGATAACCATTGAGACAATTCTTATCGGCTAATACGGAGCATTTACTAGAAATCTTTCGAAATTGATGTAGAAAATTAAATAATGAATATGCCATTAGTGATATCAAACAATGGTGTTGCAAAATCAACTAAAATGCATGGCAAAATAAATAACTCTCTGAATGTAGCTATTTCTTTGTTTTCTTCTCGTGAAAACATAAAAGTGAGGAAAATTTTCAACCAAAAACAAATGATAAATCAAATTGTTAGTTAGTTCAATATATTTTTCGTTGAAATAATAGAATTGAATTCATAATAAACATTCGTTTCTTCTAGTAATCTCTTTTTGACACACATATATAAACATCTTTTTTCCTCTCACTTTGCTTGGATGACTGAATTATTTCGATATTTTGTTAGTTTTTTTTTCTAGCAAATGTTATTACATTTGATTTGATTAATATTAAAACAATAAACAGAACAGATTGATTTTTTTTATTCATTGAAGAAATAACTGAAATAAAGTCTTTTTTTTAAGAAGAATGAAAAAACTATTTGACTCTTCAATTTGTAATTTATGCTCATTGAATATCTTATTCAGATAGTCTAGACTTTTACTTTTCTAATAAGAACTCTTCATATGTCGATAGACCGTAAATTAAATCAACTAAAAGGAGAAGATTATCTTTAGTTCAGATAGGAAATTACTCGTCATTGGAGATTGGATCTTTATCTAGTAAATTCGAATAGAAATATCAATGAATATCTTAATTTGTGCTTGATCAGATAAACCTTGAAAAGTCATCGAATCAACTTCGAAAAATAAAAGATTGATTAGGATTTTCTCGACACCTATCTGATGTTTCGGACTGATAATAGAAAATAAAGAATCGTTGTATATTTCTCATATTGAGAAACATCTTGTAACCAAATGGTCTAATGATCAGATAATCACTGGAAGAAACGGAGAGGGAACTGATGTTAATTAACTCTATGGGATCTTGTCCTGATCGATTGGAAAAATCATCATGTGTCGAAATAACCACTTGGTACTAGAGAAGTTCCAGCGTTTCTCTAACATTTTTTTTCTCTATTCAAAATCATGACTGTTTATGCACTGCTCATTTTCTTTGTTGACAAAAACATGATTTTGTACGTTATATTTTGTTTGTGTTCTGTCATTGATGCAACCTACATTTTTATATTGGCAAGAAGAAAATCTACTTTTTCTTTTATCTGGCGTTTGTTCTCTTTCGCCCTAAGAAAATAAGCGAACAAACAAAAAGTGGGTATATGTTTGTGCACATATAAAAGAGAGCGAGTGGGATATATAAGTGTGTGTTTGCTTAGATAAATGGCGATGACACTATCATTATCATACTTGTTGCCGACCAAAACACCTTTTTTTTGTTCAGGTCTTTTCTTTTATTTTTCAGATGTCATCAGCTGATTGAATAGCTTTGAATGTTAAAGTTAAATATACTCAACTCTTTATCAACAACGAATGGCATAAAGCAACAAATGGAAAAACATTTTCTCTCATCAATCCAAGTACAGGAGAAGAAATCTGTCAAGTAGAAGAAGGCATTAGAGTATGAATCTCTATATGTTCTTCATTGGTTCATTATCTATTGTGATTTTCAGGCTGATGTTGATAAAGCAGTTGAAGGCACTCAAACAGCTTTTGATATTGAATCACCATGGTATAAATTAGATCCTCTTTCTTTCTCTCAACATAAGTCAATATATAGAAAGTGAAAACACTTAGCAATGGTAAACTAGTAGAACAGACTAAAGATGAAATATTTTTCTCAGTTGATTGTACTGAAACCAACTGAACAAACACCACTTAGTGCACTTTATTGTGCTGCTCTTATCAAAGAGGTAAGATATTATTATGTCGATCATACTTTGTTGTTATCATGATGATCTAGACTGACTTTCCACCAGGTGTTGCCAACATCATACCAGGTAAAGTGAATGATATTTGCCATAATAATTTCATAAGAACATTTAGGTGATGGGTCTGAATGTGGTTATGCAATTGCTGTTCATGCACATATTGATAAAGTAGCTTGTACTAGTCCAGTTGAAATAAAAACATTCACTAATAAAACTAAAAAAAAAAAATGGATGTGAAATGTTTGATTGAAGGTTGGAAAGAAAATACAAGAAGCAGCAACTAAATTAAATCTTAAATGTGTTGCATTTGAACTTGGTCAGTAACAAATACAGGATAATTTTCATCTGTGGTAGTCTCTTTTCACATATCGGTGGAAAATCTCCTTTGATCATCTGAGGATGAGGATGAGTATTCTATAAGACTTTCAAATAATCAAATTGATTCTAATACTGAACAAGGATCACAAGTAATAACCTCTTTAATCTAAAGAATAGTTCACTTTACTTGCATATGATAGATAAATGATAGTTAATTTCAATAGATTTTGGACTATATAGAATCAGGTTAAAAGTTTAGAGATAAATTAGAATGTGGTAGTGAAGGAGTTGATAATAAAGATTATTTTATCAAAGCAACTATTTTTAGTGGTGTAAAAGATGATGTGCAAATTACAGGTGAAGAGGTATAACATTTTTTTTTTATTAGATTCTATAATAATGTGAAAGTTTAGATATTTAGTCCAGTAATGTCAGTCTTAAAGTATGATTCATATGAAGAAGTTATCAAACGAGCAAACGACACGACTTTTGGACTTGGTGCTTGAGTGATAACTAGAGATAGTAAATTCGAAAGAAATGGTTATTGATGATTATTCTAGTTTTTCAGTGAGACGTGGTCTTAAGTTGACTCACCAAATATAACCTGGCTCTGTTTGGATAAATACTTGTAAGGCTATATGTAATCAAGCACTATTTGGTGGCTTTAAACACTCAGTTCAGGAAAGAGAATTAGGTCGATATGATCTCGAAGCATACTATCAGGTAAAAACAATTGTTGTTAAACTTGTTTGAGGAAAAACAATACAAATTTTTCATGAAGAACAACTATTTGTATTTGCTTGTTTAACTTTCTAACATTTATGTAGTTTGCTCTCTAAACTATTCCATGTATTGCGAAAGTCTCACTAATATGTACAACTAATTTAAGTAAAATGTTTAAGTGCAAAGAATAGAATACCACGAACAATCAGTTGAAACAACTTGTAATTACGGTAATAACTCGTATGAATGATCATAATCTAGTTTCAATTTAAGATACATAATTAATAACTTTTAAAATTTTATTGTTTAAAAGATTTTAAACAAAATACAATACAAAGAAACAAATTGATTATTGAAGAAGGAAAAGTGTGATCGATTCTTTTCTGCTATCGTAAAACATTACTTATTGATTGTATATATATAGTGAATCTAAAGAAGTTTTTATATATAATAAATTTTTTGTTTGCTCCTGTTCTCTATCATCTAAGTGACATCAGTTTTGAACAATAACAATAATATTCTTGTAAAAAATGTTAATTTGTTAACTGAAATCACATAAGTAGATATATGATATTGGTGAAGAGAATGCTTCAGCCTGTTATTGACAACGCTTTCGAAATCCAACGTACAGTTATGAAAATTACTTCTATTCGCTTGAAATCTTCACCATTCTAAAAATTCTTTCCTTCTATCGTGGCAATTTCGTTCTGGAAGTCTTCCTTCATATATTGAGTGTTTCACATTAAACGAACTGATAAGATCTTTAGTAATAGAGGCACATCAAAAGAATATGGTTTTGCATATACTAAGAACGATCTGATTTGCACCTGTTAGTAAAATAGTTCTATAGTGAAGTGCACTATCCAATACATATATTATTAGAAAAATTGTTCTTCGCTTGTCGCAAAGTCCAATCGATAAGACAAGTTTTAAAAAATACCACATTGACACGAAGACTTGTTACAATACTCAGGTGTGCTACCTTATCAAATTTTTGTTTTCTCTTAACCAAATTAGTTTCATAAGTTGAACCATTCATTAAGATTGAAGACATCATCTGCAACTGAAACAGCAATGAATATAAGTAGATAAAGGAACGAGCTAATATATGTTCATTCTTTCCTTTCTTCTTATGTGATAAATCAAGGTCAATCATGTAGACAAAAATGAATCCGTTCTCTATCATTAATCCAAGTACAGATGAAAAAATTTATCAAGTAGAAGAAGGTACAAAAGTATCAATATATATATATACATGATTATTTTCGTTCTAAGTGTAATTTTTATTGTTTCCAATATTGTAGAGTGATCCTGATAAAGCAATTGAAGCTGCTGAAAAAGGTTTCCAATATGATTCACCATGGCGTAAGTCTGATCCTGCTGCACGTGCTCAGTTAATTTGTAAACTTGCTGATTTACTTCTACATGTTGTGGGTTATTTAGCAGTAAAAATGTTCACTCTGTTTGTTTGCATCCACATCATAAATGAATATTCATAGATTAGAAACACTGAATAGTGAAAAACTGCTACAAGAGAGTTATTGCGAGATTCTTGGAGCAGCTGTTTGTCTTGATTATTGTAAGCCTCTCTGTCATTCTCTTTTTTTTATTATCGATGATATTCACATGTTACAGATGCTGGATGGGCTGATAAAATCACTGGTGAAACACTTCCATCAGAATCAGTTATTTTTATTACCTATATTAGACATGAACTAGTTGGGATCTATGAACAAATCATTTTATGGTCAGTTCAAACATTCAATAAATGAAAATTCAAATTGTACTTTCTTCTTTCAGTAATTATTCAGTACGATATTCTATCTTTCATATGTATCATACAAAAGTATTGTTGCCATTGTATTTTAGACTGTTATATTGGCCTTGAAACTTGGATCAGCATTAGTTTGTGGTAACTTCATTACTTCTATTAATTTACATTTTCTTATATATTGCAATAACAAAAAGGCAATGTAGTTATTCTCAAACCAGCTGAACAAACACCACTTATTACACTCTTTTGTGCTTCTGTCATCAAAGAAGTATTATTCAACATCTATCAACAATGGAAATTTACTCTAACACTAAATCAATAATCTAGGCTGGTTTTTCACCAGGTATTGTTAACAGTGTACCAGGTAATACACATCACCAGAATGAAAACAATTCTTATAATGATGTACATATGTAAGTCATGGATCTAACTGTGGTCACGCATGAAAAGATTAATAAAATAGCTTTTACAGGTTCACTCAAGGCAAGATTAGTGCAGATGAAAGACAAAATAACAAAGGCACACGATATTTTGTTTTAGGTTGGGAAAAAGATTCAAGAAACTGCAGGAAAAACTAATCTAAAGCGTGTTTCACTAGAACTTAGGTAGTAAAATCATCTTTCTTACCTGTCTGCTTTGTTGCCTTTTCCATCACATATAGGTAGTAAATCACTATTAATCATTTGTGAAGATACTGATCGTATGTATTAAATAATTCTATTACTTCCACTTTCATTGTGCTTCCTAATGACGAAAAAGGTTTATAAACGATAGAATTAATTTGTTTTGCATATTTTAGTCGATGTTCTTGTTCGAACTACTCATAGAGCAGTTTTCACTCATGCAGGTCAAGTATGTTTTCCTGCATCAAGAATATTTGTTCATTTCACACTTCGCGATGCCTTTGTGTCTAAAAGTGTCGAATTAGCAAAGAAACGTATTGTTGATGATCCATTTGATCTTACAACTGAACAAGGACCATAGGTATAGGAAAGCATTTCAAGCAAAGTGTTAAAATCTAAACTATGGAAAAAACATACTGATTGAGGATTCAGAAAACAATTTGATAAGACAACAGATTAGCATTGATTTCTTTTGTGTATTCTACAAAACAGTCATACTCAATTAGAAACAATTCTTGAATGTATTCGATCAGGTAAAAAAGTTGGTGATAAAGGTTATTTTATTCGACCTACTATTTTTACTAATGTAAAAGATGATATGAAAGTAGCTCGTGAAGAAGTTTGTCTTTTTTTCTCTTTTCTTCATTTTATTGAAATCGTTTTCTTCTATTTTGAATATCTCTTGGTTTCAACTTATTTTCCCATTAGTCGATCCATCGGATATATTCAGCAACAGCATCGAAATTCTTATCTACATTGGAATCGGAATCATTGGTTGAATAATACAAATAGTTTAGGTTCGATGTAAGAAACTTAGATACAATGCCATACTTCTCTAACTTCTGACGGTGCTTAACTACAAACGTAGATCTCTCTACTAAGACATTGAACCTCATATGGTATGAAGTGAAACTTGAGACAAAAAAAACAGACCATGCAAGTTGTACGCTACAGTCTATTCAAATAATTACCTTTTTGTTTCTTTTTCTAATTTACTTTATGAGTATTAGCAGAGGATCTACTAGAATACCAGACAACATGACTGGAGTAAAACTCTTGATTTTGGATTTAACTATCTTAAAATAAAGGTCGTATATAGATATTACTAAATCCGAAATATTAACTCGATCTGATAATGATTCATTGAATTATGATGTATATCGTGGTAACAGGCCTTAAAGAGTTCTAATGCAAAATGATAATTTTTATTCTTGGTACTTTTTAATATATTGTAAAACTGAAGCATTATTCCACGAATTGTTATAGTGTTGAGTTTTGTCAAAACGAAGAGTACCTCTTTTTCTGTCGACTTCACATAAGCATCATTTTATAGGAAAAAAAGGGTCAATGCGATAATTTTTTAATGAAAATATGTATGGTTGTTCCTACCATGTTTTTTCATGTTTTTTTGCGTTTTTTTAAAAGTATTTTGATCTTTGAATTAAAAAATGGAGTTCCTCAGGAATTTTATGATATCAGAAGATAGCCCGTAAAAAACTCCATCTTCTATGTGAAAATATCTAAGAAAAATCATGGCTGGCTCAATTAACTTTTTTCAACACAGTTCATCACGACGTATTTTTTATGCTGATTATAACGTGTTTTCATTGTTTCTCCATGTTAATCATTTCTCATTCACGATTTAATCTATAAGTTCATTTAACAAGCATAACTACATCGAGTAGAATGTCAGAGCCATATTTCTAATGATACTCCTATATATATATAAATGTGATCGACCAAGTAAGCCTCACAGTGCGTAAATTCTAAATTTCGAGTTCGCTTCACGCCAGTCCATTTTTATACCTAACAGCACATAGTAGGATTCTATCAACTGCAGCCATAGGCTATGAGCACATTATGTGATTGTAAGTTGGTTAATTAATTAGTACCCAACTAATTAGAACTAATTAGAGAGGGCACTCAATTAATCAGCACTAATTAAGGCGACTAATAGTTAGGGTAAGCGTAGTTTGCAGTAGACATCTGTAAGGTTTTGAGGACTATTAGGGTCATTGTTGAATGCGTTAGGAAATATTGGGTTCATGAGTAATGTAAGAAATGTGTACTTGAATTTTGCTTTAGCAAGTAAGAGTAAGCTTTTTTGTTAGCTGAAGGTAATTGAGTCGCGTGATAGAGTGTCTTCGATACACAAGTAGTATATGCGGTGGAGAAAATGTTCGAAAATTTGGGTAAAGTTTGAGGATTTCTGTAGTTAAAGACCGATTGGTCATTAGGTGTGCAACAGACCCGGCTCATGCGAACAAAGCTGGCTGATTGGTTCTAGCTTAGCAAACTGAGCTGAATCTATGATACACCTACTTACAGTTGTCGCTGCAGGGTAGAGTTTTCCATACGATTTTTTTGTTCAGAAATGGCTTTCATCTGCTTAGAAATAACCATACATCATTCAGAGAATTATCTTTAAGAAAACAGAAAGTTTTTAAGAAAAAAATTTACGAAAAAATCTGGCTGGGGAGTAGTACCTCAGCCATAATTTTCCGAAACAAATTTGTTTTGAAAAATATTTTGAGCTACATATCACTCGAAGTAGTGTAATGCGTTCATTCCGAATATCACCATAGTTTTTCTTCAAAGAGTAATATCAATGTCAAAAATCGGATATTCTACTGTACAATAGCTTAGGAAAGGTTTCATAAGTATGCGCCACTATCATAAGTAGGTTACATATGTAAGAACGTCTGGTAAAAATGCGTGCTCGATTCGACGTTTTCTTTTTGTAGTGCTTACAATATATGGAACGATATGTTTTCAGATAGGTTTTGGATCTCGAGATCCTTTCTCTTCTACTCTATTTTAAATTAAATTTGGATCACTTTTTTTTAAACATAAGGTCTACCCATGAGGAAGCTTTTTGTGATATTGTTTCATATTGCCTAGCAGCTTGACTTTCTTTATTTATGCTGATTTCTGGGGCGCAAGCCTTAGCGAGCTCTTTTCTTGGGCTTTATAAAACTTTGAGAACCACTATTTTAGGAAATGATAGATCACATATGCATGTATCTACGCAAATCGTTAGATTCTAGAAAAGAATATTTTCGCATATATCCGCCTGGCTTCCCACTGTAACAGACATCAACGCTTGCTGATTCAGCGTTACTTCACCTGTGTATTGACCTTGTGTTGTTCTACTTGTAAGTTGGATAAAACCCACTGATGACAACTAACAAAGTGCTCCGTTCTTTATTTTCTTATCAAATATTTATTATGCAAATGAAGACTGCTATTCAAGTATGTTGTGTGCAAAGTCATCGACCTTCCGCGAAAGAGGAATAAAAGTATGTGTGCCAACCAACTTTTTTCTCTCTTTCTGTGATTAACTTCTGCAACACAAACGACATACTGTATCATTGTTAAAAAACAAAACAAGAATTCATGGTGTCTTGTCGAGCCTGTCTGAATACATAATATATTCATTGTAGATTTCTTAACTGATTGGTGATCAAACAACATGAAAATAAAACTTTTGAAAAGTTCATTTCTCAAACCGATGCGAATCTTTGCGAAGAGCTCGTAATGGTACAAGACTCTCAAGGAAAAGTCCCCAACTGATTCATGCCGTTTTTGTTGTTATTTTGCCTATATGTAGGGTTCGATGAGATTAGAAAAAACTTAAAAGGATAACAGCCCATAGGCTTTCCTTCTCAAGTTATGATCATTTTACTTGGTGTACCACCTAGGACATGGGATTCAGCAAAAAATCAAATTGAGAAATTTCGATCTGAGATTTTGTCCACATGCAAGTCTCATGGCCTATATATTAGCCTAAAAGTTCCAGTCAAAACAAACGTCTCTTTCTCGCCATGCTACATACATGTCAGGAAAATCGACTTCTATAGAAAAATCAATATTTTACGACAGAAGCATTTGTTTTGACTGCAACCTTAAGCCTAACATATAGGTCATAAGACCTGCATGTGCATGAAAGCTGATTTTTCACTGAATCCCTTGTCATAGGTGGTAAACCAAGTAAAATGATCATCATTCGAGAAGGAAAGCTTATTTTTTTTTTTTTTTTTAATTATGCTGAATTTTATTCGTGACATCCATAATTTTTTTTTGGGGGGATTTTTTACAATTTTTGCGGACGCTTACGAAAAGGAAAGCTTATGCGCCGTTATCTTTTTAGGCTTTTTCTAGTGTCATCAAACTATATATATGGGCAAAATATCAACAAAAACGGCATGCATCCGTTGGAAAACTTCTTTCTTCAGTAACTTTGATGTTAACCTTGTAGAATTCTAGTCTGTAGTCGACTTACTAATGATCAAAGAGCTAGAATGAAGTGAGTCGTACAAGAGTACTCCTCGAAATAAGATAAAAAGTAAAATCAATGGCTGGTTCGAAGGGATTGGAAATTTTCAAAATACAAGTTACAAGGAGACGCTTTCTATCTATCTTGACATGAGGGCGTGAAGAGGCCTGACATCATTCACGCCAACTTTAACCATTAACTTTACTGCTTCACATGATCGACAAGATTTTTAACTTGAAGAATGAAAGCATGAGTGTGTGACTGTGGGTGTCGGTGGACGTGGGCGTGCTTGCTGAAGAGAAGACTCACACCCACACCTACACCCATATCCGCGTCTACATCGACACCCACAACCACGTTCACGTCACTCGCTTCCGCTCTCACATCCACAGCCACACTTCCACATAGCCATCCACTACTCACAATTACAGCTGTACCAACCCACATCGATGCCCGCCCAGAGCCGCAGCCACAACCACATCCACCAGCACCAATTCACACCATACGGCCACAGCCACATCCACCCATACTCACATTCGGAAACCCATCTACCTAGACACACACATCCCAACATAAGATCACACTAGCCTACAGACTTATGATGATGATACCTTCACTTATTGGCTTTGTACCTTTCTTCTTGCTATCTTATTCTTATCATTCTATTTAATTTTGCTTAATTTCTTCTTATCTTGCATTGTTAGCCTCGTTTTATAGGGTAAATAAAAGTCAACAGAAAAAAAACCCAATGAAAGTTGGAAAGAATAACGATAAGATAAATGATGCTGTTGGATTTTTTTCTTTCGTTTGCTTTTGACAAGCATATTTTCAATTGAAAGTAGGTAGGGTTTATCTTTGAGTGTCAACAAAAGAAATACGTACCCATATTTGGCGTCGTAGAATAATCTAGAAAAAAAAACATCCAACATCGAATGTATAAATAGAAAACGGTGGTCTCTATCCAAACAACAATTGATCATTCACAATATTCAGTCGTCGAGCAAACGTCAAAAACAACATCGAAAATGAGTAGACAACGACGACTACGAATGGCTGAAAATTACCTGGTCATCTGGGTCGACGGCAATATCAACATGGCAAATGAAGATTCCCAGAATACACTCGCGCAATTGCGCGGCGTTGTTAATGAAGTTAATCCGTGCACCACGGCCGAACAATGTATCCAGAAGCTCCAGGAAAACAATGAGGAGACATCATTCATCATCTCCTCAGGTGCATTAGGACAACACTTGGTACCAGAAATTCATGGCATGCCAAAGCTGGATGCCATATATATCTTTTGTGGCAACAAACAACGCCACCAAGAATGGGCTAAAAATTGGCCCAAAATTAAAGGTGTCCATACATCAATTAAGCACATCTGTGAAAACCTGGCACTGGCTGTCAAACAATGCAATCAAGATCAAGTAACAGTCAGTATTATCGGTGTCAATGAAGGAGGTTCTAGCGAAAATCTCAATCAGCTAGAGCCTTCCTTCATGTATACTCAAATATTCAAGGAAATACTCCTTGATATGGAACATGGCCAAAAAGCCGTTAAAGACTTGGTCACATATTGCCAAGAACAATACGAAGGCAATACCAAAGAGCTCAAGTTAATCAATGAATTTCAACGTGCTTACCATCCAACATTGGCATTATGGTGGTATACACGCCAATGCTTCACATACAAAATGCTCAATCGAGCATTAAGAACATTGGATGGCGACATTATCATCCGAATGGGATTTTTCCTGTGTGATGTTCATCGACAAATTGAAGAATTACACAGCCAACAGGTCAGTCAATATCATGGAAAGTCATTTCTAGTTTATAGGGGTCAAGGATTATCGACAACTGACTTCGAAAAACTTGCAAAAAACAAAGGTGGTCTCATATCTTTCAACAACTTTTTATCCACCAGCGCAGATCGTGATGTCTCCTTCGCTTTTGCCGAAGGCACCTTAGGAGCAACCGATATGGTTGGTATCCTCTTTCAAATGACCATCGATCCCATGGTCTCATCGACTCCTTTTGCCTCCATCCAGGAGGTGAGTTATTTCAAGGACGAAGAGGAAATTCTCTTCTCCATGCATACCGTTTTTCGAATTGGTGAAGTTCGAAAACTTGATAAGAAAAGTCCACTTTATCAAGTGGATCTTAAACTTACGTCGGATGATGACCAACAACTGAGTCAATTAACCGATCGTATGCGAGAAGACGTCGACGGCACTGGATGGTATCGACTGGGTCAATTGTTGCTCAAAATAAGTCAATTTGACAAGGCTGAAGAATTATATACGGCACTACTAGAACAGACATCCAACGACACTGCTACAGCACGTATCTATAATATGCTTGGAGAGGTGAAATACGAACAAGGACAATACAAAGAAGCAGGATCATTCTACAAAACAGCTCTTGAAAGGTATCGAAAAACTCTACCGAAAGATGATCCAACGTTGGCTAAAATTTACCGAAATATTGGTGCAGCGCATTGTTCCATGGGTAACTATCCGAAAGCACTTGAATTTTACGAAAAATCACTTAAAATAAGAGAAAAAG